AGGATATCAAAATCATTTGGAGGTGATAGAACAGAGGAAGTCAAGATGGTCGGCCAAGGAACCAAAGAAAGGACCAAACGTTGAGGGCATACGAGTATGTACAATTGATGGCATTCAATTCGTCGCGGGCGGCGCGCGACGTGCAAAAAACAAAAGGATACACCAAATCAGGGACGAATAAAATCGGAGGGGGCCCACAGCAAAAGGAAGAGGGGTGGGCGAGGGTCAGAGGACACGGGACGCAGGACGCAGGACACAGGACACATGCGTGCCCAAAATGATTTTTCCTAATGCAATTTTTTGTTGGCCAACGAGCGGAAGTTATAAAAAATAAGAGGTGCACTTTCGTAGGGGGGATTTTTTTGGAAAGAGCCAGAGGAAGAGGACTCGCAGATGGCAAATGATTGGTATTAGTGATGCTTGATCGGATTCCCATAAATATCATTCGGAAAGGAAGTTGCCAAAAGGGATGTGAAAGGTGATAAAAAAAAAACTTATATGGTTAATTTTAAAATTATAATTGAGAAGAGAACATTTGTTTTAAAAATAATATTATTAACTTTTTTGTAATATGTTGTGAAGAGTTTATTGCATCAGTGTTATAAACTTTTAATGAAGTTAGTTATTATTTTTATATATGTTCCAAAAAGATGTTCCATTTGTGTTCTATAATGCACTTAAAACTTTTATTTTATTTATAGTTAACTTATTTATACTACTATGTGGATATCAGATTCTCCTTCTCTGCTTTAATCTTGAATTCTTTCATTCACAACTCCGTTTCCTATCAATGAGTCCATAATCGCTGATGCCGCTGCCACCTTCTCTGAGTTGAAATCATTCATCCACGATTCCCTGCGCTTGGCCAACTCGACTCGAATCAACTCCAATCCAACTCGAATCCTTTGGAAGACTTGGAAATCGCGCAAATTACGTTCCAAAGATCAACTACCGCAATCGATCTGGCGAATTAAGTTCCCCCAAACAAACAATCGTCGTCGTCGTTGTGAAGATACCATCTCCAGAAACTCGACGTTTCCAGATCATCGCTTTCAATTTGTATCAAATATCTTCAAAGGACTTCGACTTTGACGGGGCCTCGATTTTTTCATCTTTTTTCCATTCTTTTTTTTTCCTCCCTTTGTTTGGTCCTCCTGCTCTTCTATTTACATTCGCTGCCGAGCTGCAAAGGAGTGGGGGTAAGCATAAAGGACTCAGGACTCTGGAGAGGCACTCACATATTTATTTGATGATTGCCCTACCATATCCCAATTTTCTTTATCTTCCTGGCCTTTTTGTTTCTTTTTTTTTTTGTTGCGCTTCCATCGGCGAGATTTGCGAGGTTCGCTAAATTGCATTCTGAACGCCCGAGCTGCGTTAAGTCAGAAGTCGATCAAGTGTGGATGCGTCGCGCAGATGTATCTGCATCCATGTATCTCAATCCGTACCTACGTATCTGTTTGTGCATCTGTGGGCGGCCGACAGTGCGTTTCGCAACAGGAATAAGTTAAGGTAAACGTTTGACATAAAACTTAAATTAGTTCCAATTATGTCAGGGGACTTATACTATAATCATAAACATATTTTTTGTAAGAGAAAAGAGTAAACATATTGAATGTCTAAACTATTTTTACTCCTTTATTGGCGTACTTTTTTTTGGTATGACAAATCTCCTTGCTTTTTAACTTTTTCTTGGAAAATAAAAGCTATAAGTTTATTTGAACAATAATGAATTTTTTTTATGGTAAGTACCTGGTATATCAATCCAAAAGGGCTCATTTACATTTTCGAAACGCACTTTATTTGAAGTTTGCGGCTTATACAACTCGCCATAAGAGATGGGAAAAAAGAGAGCGAATATTCGTTCTGCAGCTTCGTTTCATAGCCATTTATTTGGCATTTTCGTATTTTCTTGTTTTCCTATTTACCCATTGTGTTTTTCACGAAAAACATTGAAGTGGAAATCCTTTATTGAGTGCGATATTCCTATTCCTATTCCCATTTCAACAGTACCATAGCCACTCGGTGTTCGAAATGCTATTTTTGTTTGTTGAATTTTGCATGCAAAATTTGTTTTCAGTTCTGGCCCATTGTTTCGTCCTTCATTGTCAATTTTCCACTGTGCAGTGGGTGAAAGCCGGGGAGAGAAGGGGAAATTTCTCGGCTTCGGCTTCTGTATCTATTTCTCCTTGTGTTTGCGGCCTTTGTTTCGCTTCCTTTCAATTGCATTTGGCCATAGCAATTTGCATGCCCCATCCAGGAACCCATATATCCCTATTGCAACTTCTATTCCTACTCCTACTTCTACTTCAATCCCTATTCGGATTGCTTTCCCTCTGCATATGCTGCGGTTCCCATTCCGGCCATTGTCCATCCAATCATCATCATCGTTGTCTGAGCAAAATGTTTGCGGACGAAGGATAATGAGTGTCCCCGGAGTCGGCAATTTGTCTGGATGCAAATCGGAGAATTATGGCTACAAATAGTGGCAGAAGTGAGCCACCTAAAGTCCAAATATGTGGCTCAAATTAACCGAAAAGGAAGCCATTGCCTATTGAAATCAAGCCTTTATTAGTTACCTAATGAAACATATTTCAATGTCTTATTTACTCATTAATACATTGTACTGAAAATAATCACAACATAAATTATTTATTTTGTACCACTAATACAATGTTTATTATACAAATATTGTATAATTTTTTGCGTAAAAACGATCTTTCTATGCCCCTTGATAGAAATATTAATTTTCTTTGTCCACTAAACCCATTTTATTTTATTTTACTTTAGTTTTAATCGACTGACCGCTGCTATGGAGTTTCAATTATGTTCCTTAAATTATATCCGATTTCTCTTAAAGAGTTTCCCAGCAAAAAGCCACACAAAATTAAATTAATCCTGTCCTTGTCGGCGAATTTGGAGCTTCCGAGGTGCTCCTTCCTGTTTTTAGTTAATCCCTGAAATTGCTTAAAACTTTTGTAAGCTAATAAGCAAATTTGCTGCATACATTCGGGGCCAACTTGGAGCTTGAAGAGGTAGAATTTGGGGGGTTCTGTTTGGGGTACATCGAAATAATTACAGAAAGATGCAGGAATGATTCCGGCTCAAGGGATTTTAATTGCTAAAAAGGGAAGCTTAGCTGGAAAAGTGTTTGGAAATCGCATTGCAAGGTTGTGAAAAGATGTCTAGACAATCGGGTGAAAGGATTGCTCACAAAATAAAAATAATCTATAAACATTCTGCTAAAATGGAAACCCATATTTTTATTTTTTTTTACACATTACTGGAACGGTTTTCATTTATTCGCAGTTAAATTTTCTGTATCTTAAATTGCTAAACGTTTTGCACAATAATTACTTTGTGCAGTTGTAAACTTTTATAGAACAAACTACAAATAAGCCCTGCCCCCAAACTACAGAAGTGAAATTTAAGCTTTTAATAGCTCTATAATTTTTTGGCGGAATGCTGTACCACTTGAATATTTACCAGCCCGAACCAATATAATATTTCCAAAAAATCGTCAGGCCCTCATTATCTATAAGTGCATTATCTACATGGCAACAAGGGCGAACAACAACAACAACAGCAAGAACATAAAAAAAAACACAAATAAAAAGCGTTTGTTTTATGGCCGGGAAATCAATCAACTTTATTAATTACAAGTAATTAAAGTTTAATTAAGAGCCCAGAACGAAGCTTCTTCTTGCTTTTGTTTCAAGGTTGCATGTGTGCGTGTGCTTGTGCTTGTGCGCTGGTGTGTGTTCGTTCGTGTGCTTTTGTGTGGAAATAAATGCAAATATTTATTTGGCAAAAGTCAAAATTTGTAGAAGGATGCGGTGGGCGGAGCAGCAACAAAATGGTGGCAAAAGTAGTGCGATTGTTGTTGCTGCTGCAATTTTGTTTGTCTGTTTAATTAAAGCAATATGTGGCCTCCAGGAAAGGAATGTTGGGTTAATTGACTCATCACTTATACGACAAACGAAGCACAAGCAAACAAACAAACAAACACACGCAGACACACACCTACATATTCGAGAGAGCAGAAGAAGAAGAGCGCGCTCCGAATAGCAGCGCCGTCAACGAAAAAGAAAGAAGATGAAACAGTTCAAAAACATGGGGGCGTGGCCAGCGTTTTGACATTTTGAAATTGTTGCTTTGCGCAGAGCCATGCACATTTGGGCCAATCAGAAAAGAGGATCCCATGTGGATGGCAACGCCCACACAACTAACGGTAATAGTGGGAACAGCAGGTGCCAACTGACGACCTCTAGCGGCTAACTTTCACAAGTAGTATTTTAAACGAGCTAAATCGCCAATAACGCCACCTAGATAAAGTAGTTATTGATCATACAAAATTTTAATACAGACTTATTTTCTTTAAATCATTTCTTTGTCATTAAAAAATGGTTTAATTGGGTTCAAGAATATTTGTGTATGTTACCAGTTGTTGTTTGTAAAACTAAACATAATTCATTGTACCCAGACCGACACTAACATATTTAATTGATTAGGTTAAACTCATGAAACTGTATATTTGTTGGTTCCCTAAGAATTTTGTTTTTTATTTCTATTTCATTCAAATTCACATAGCTTATGTTACTTTGGAATTTTTTTATTCTTAAAATTTAAATTAAATTTTTACAAATGTCTTGTGCAGTGTTTTGAAACACATTTTTAAATTAAAACCTAATTAAATAACTTTGCCATTTTTATGTTGATTAAAGAGCTTGTTTATGATCTGTAAATCACAAAAAAATGTTTTTTGAACTGCGCCCTTGCGACCAAAGTAAAAAAATCCGATGTGTATTTCAAAAGCGCCATGTAGATTGGTTGGAGCCCCGAATGGGTGCCTCACTCAGGTTGAGAGAAGCATTCACTAAGTCAGGTGCATGGATTGAATAATTGTGGAGTGTGTACATGTTAAGCACGGAATGTGCTTTCGAGGTTATCGATAGCATCGATTAAACATCGATAAGCGCGGCGATAGAAGCAGTCGATTTTAGTAATACCATTTGTCACCTGCGTCCGTGCGTGTGCGTGTGTGTGTGTTCTGGAAATGGCAAAGAAAACCTACGATTTGCTCTTCAAACTGTTGCTGATCGGCGATTCAGGAGTGGGAAAGACGTGCATATTGTTCCGTTTCTCAGATGACGCCTTCACGTCCACGTTTATATCGACCATCGGTGAGTAACGGCACCTTGCACAGGCCAAAATGTATCCCCATCGTACGCACACACATGCACATGTCAGCTGAACAGCCAGGATATGCGTGTGTATGTGGATGCGTGTGTGTGTGTCGGTGTGTTTGACTGGGCGTGGCACTGCCTTATCGACTGGCGGACGCACTGCTTGCTGCGATCGCCTTCGGCCTCGGCCTTCAAAAATCTGCAAAAAACCGCCTTTAATCATAGAACCCTAAATCAAAATGAACGCACGTAAAATAGACGTGCAAACATTCAGTCAGAATGTACGCTCTTGGCGGATGAATCATCGTGATATCACTGCGGGGCTGCCGAGCTCCAAAATTCAAGTTCCACAAATCGAATCGATAACGTCGCTGTGACGTCATTGATTCGCCACTGCGTTTGTTATTCCGCACTAACAATGTTCTCAATATCTCCCATTTCGCAGGCATCGATTTCAAAATCAAAACAGTCGAGCTGCGCGGCAAGAAGATCAAGCTGCAAATATGGGATACCGCCGGCCAGGAGCGATTCCACACGATAACCACCTCGTATTATCGGGGCGCCATGGGCATAATGCTCGTCTATGACATAACGAACGAGAAGAGTTTCGAGAATATAGTAAAATGGCTACGGAATATAGACGAGGTGGGTGATCTTCGAATTAATTATGACCTTTTCATAGACTAACATATCGGTTTCTTTGACTTCAAATTGTAGCACGCTAACGAGGACGTGGAGAAGATGATCCTGGGCAACAAGTGCGACATGACGGACAAGCGGGTGGTCAACAAGGAGCGCGGCGAAGCGGTGAGCATCTTCCATCCAGAAATAGATCAGGGATCAGTGCCTAGAACATATATGTATTTGCAAAGCAGATTAGATAATGGTAGTAAGGAAGTGGCATCCTCTTCAAGGATGTTGAACACTTGAACAACGTTTATTATTGTCAAATGCTTAGTGTACTTTCCATATAAACATGAATAACCTAGGTTAGGGATCTTATCTATGGTTTACTCTTATTTCCCTTTAAAAGTTTCACAACATTCCTATCTTCATATGAAAGCAAGATTTACAACCATAAGATCGGCAAATTTATTTGAGATTTAGGATCTTTTGAAGATCTTACAAGTTATCAAAAAGAAAATAAAATTGAAAATTGTCAGGTTTTGAGTGTACTCAGTACTAACGAATATATAACTATTGATTGTTGTTTTATAGAACGACAAATAAAAAGATGAATTTTAACTTGCAAGTTAATCAGACCAAAGTACTATTCCCGGAAGACGTAGACACACAATTTAGAGTAGAACCAATCAGGTTATTTATTGTGATTGCCTTTCAATGATCGCACACGCTCTCCGCTTGCTTGATCAATTTGTTTACGAAGTCTAAACCCCTCGCCCATTCTCCGCCTTTTCGCCATTCATTTAGATTGCCCGCGAGCATGGCATTCGGTTTATGGAAACATCCGCCAAATCGGACATAAACATCGAGCGGGCGTTCTGCGAGCTGGCCGAGGCCATTCTGGACAAGACGTCGGGCAGGGAGTCGGCGGAGAACCCGGAGCGTGTGATCATCGACCGACGGAACAACGAGAAGGCGCCCGGTTACAGCAAGTGCTGCGCGTAAAACGGCGCAAAAAGAAGGCGAACGGGGCGTGGCTTGGCCCGGTTTGTGCTTGGGCAAAAAAGGATGGAATTGGTATTGGATTAGGATCGGATCGAATTGGATTGTAATGCGGAGGTGAATAGATGGTGACGGAGATGCAGATGGAGATGGAGTGCGGTGGGGATCGGTTTCTGAAACTGTTCCGCACAAAAAAAAGGAAAGGAAAGGAAAGGGAAACAAAGCAATACAACCGGGGTCACTCGCACGGAGGGAACTTACTTATTACGAGGATACGCAGATGGAACAAGCAACAGAAACAACCTACCTAAAGTTTAACACAGATATTGTAATACGAACCATTTGGAAGCAACTTTACAAAGTCCCGGACGTTGGCAGTCCGTTGGAACACGACCACGTTAGTCGACGCACACACAGCATTTGAAGGAGGAGCAGGCGGAGTAGGAGGAGCAACCTGTTGGCATTTCGAGCAGCTAGCTAGCGTGGCCAGTAGAGAAGATCGGTGGTTCCACGGACTGTCCAGCCACACGAAAAACACGAAACGAAGCGAAACGATTAAGATAGCAAAGACGCAGACATAAGCAACTTTTGTAACGTAACTTTTGATATACATATAGTCTTACGATTCCTGTACTCAGACGTTCGCTCAGTTCGTTCGCCATCACTCGCACTTCCCTGCCGACCAGCCCCCCAATTCCCCCACTTAGTGTTTTGTTTTGTTTTGCGTTTCAGCCTAGATATAAATAACACCTATACATATTATACATCGGATAGTATATAGCATATATACCTAGCTTGCTTTCGCTTTCTTTCTCGATACTAAGCCAGCGAGCAGTTCAAGATCGACCGGGTTAGCTAGGGGTCGCGGGGTAGACGCTCTGCAGCCGCTTAGGGTTCAGGGTTCCATCTGTTCCGACAATTGTTTTCTGATTATTGCCTATATATATATATATATATGTATATTTATATACCATATATTGCATCGTTTTTTATGTGCACTTGCGCCCGAATATATATATATATATAGATGTGTATGTGCACACTTAGGGGGCGTGTATATCTCCATGTATGTGTATGTGTAAGGACGTCGCACGCCATGTAGCATCCGCAGAAAGGAGGCGGGTTCCGCCCAGCCCGCCCACTCGACGCACCATCGTGCCGTGCGCTCGCCTCCTGTCTCCTTGTAATTTTATACTACATTTTTTTTTCGTGTAAACCCATTATTTGTAACTGTATATGGATTTAGTTTAGTTGTCTACACCAAATGAATTACCGATTAAAAAATATAATGAACAAACTAAACCATGTCACATAACCGAACGTCTTTCTATGGCTGAATGGAATTTGAGTTGTATTGATTTGAGTGATATTGGTTTTATCGATCCTAAACTATTACCATATGCTTATAAGTCAGATATTGTTATCTAGTCAGAAGGCTTGAAATCATTGTGTTTGATTTGATTACAAAGAAAGGAAAAAAAGAAAATTTCACTAAACGATTAATGTTTCAACTTGGAATGTATAATTTAACAATTTAATTGGAGAACTTTGGGTATAAAATACATCCTGTGTCAGGTAATAAAATCAGTTTAGCACTCGTGCAAGCCGTACATTCAATGTACTACTTGCCAGGCCGATGAACACATGATCCCGCTATCCAGGTGGATAGCACCCGGAGCTGGTCGTCCAGGAGAATGAAGTCCGCATCCGAGCCAAAGTCCAAGGTGCCCTTCTGCTTTTCGATCTTCAAACACTTTGCCGGATGCAGCGTGGCCGCCTCAATGGCGTAAACAACGGAGCAATCTGCAAGGGAGCAGGACAATTATTAGATCCAATAGGAAGGATCATGTGTGGTTCCACTCACCCGTGGCCTTTTGAAAGATCCGCACGCACTCGTCCATGGGAGCGATGCTGCCGCAAAGGGTTTCCGTGCCAGCGATGAATGCCTTGCCCTGCTTCACCTGCAGAGGCAGTTGTCCGATGTGGTGGACGCCCTCCTCCAGCCCCAAAGCCGAAATGGCGTCTGTGACCAGGATGAGGCCTTCCGGATGCGTCCGATAGGCGATCCTCAGCGCAGCCGGATGCGTGTGAACTCCATCCGCGATGATCCCGAAGTACACGGTCCGACCGCGAGGCACTGCGTCCGAGGCGAGCAGGCCCACGAGACCGGGATCGCGGTGGTGGAACGGCAGCATGGCGTTGAACAGGTGCGTGATTAGAGTGGCTCCCTGCTGCACGGCGCGCTCTCCGTCGCTCAGCGAGGCCATCGAGTGGCCCAGGGACACGGTGATCCCCCGCTCCACCAGCTGGCCAATCACCTCCGGATCGGTGACCTTCTCCGGCGCCAGGGTGACGATCTTGATGCGCTCCAACGAGCCGTACGTGCCCTCCAACGTGCTCAGTCCCTGGTGAGGAAATTTGGAAACAGGTAACAGGAATTTAGATAAAGGTAAGAATAGTGAGATTGAATTATTGCAATCATTGCATTGGAAAAAAGTTAATTGATTAATGAAATCAATCAATGATCATAGTTTTTACCTTATCAATAGTCTGTATGCAGTTCTCCGGATGGGCACCCTTCTTCTGCGGATTGATGAACGGACCTTCGGCATGGATGCCCAGGATTCCAGCTCCTTTTGGAACTGCTGTGGGAATGCGTGGCAGTATGGTGTGGTAGCTGTCGCTGGGCGAGGTCACCAGTGTGGGGCAGAAGGAGGTGACCCCGCTTTTGACCAGACCGCGAGCCACCGTCGCCACGCCCTCTTCGATGGTCTCAGTGTCGTAGGAGAAGTCTACGCCATAGCCACCTGTAAATCAATTAATAATTAATATTAATTCTATAAAGTGAATACGGTACACCACATTAATAACATTTTGGAGATATAAAAAAAATGTTACCGTAGAAATCGAATGTTTTTGTAACTCATTTGAAATAGATAATGCAAATCAACAGAAAATCTTTATTGCATCTACTCCTTTGTCTCTGAAAGACAAAGAACCAGCTTATCGCCTTTGAAGGCTTTAGCTTAACCACAGTGGGTTTCCGATGCAAATGCCCACTGTATTCCACTTGCGGTTGAGCTGCTGCTTGGGGCCTCTGAAGTCACGATAAGATTAACTCGCTCCGATTACGAGTGCTCCATATTGCGGCTCGTTAACGGGCAAATAGAACAGAGGCGCCTTCGACCTTGGAGGCTGATTGGACCTCGGCGAAAGTGCCAATTAATGCGATCATAGGCGGAATAGCAGCTCAATAGCGTATTCCATGCCTAGGAAAGGTACCACCGCTGCCCAAAATGGTTCATATTTTTTGTATATATAATAAAAAAAACAGATTGAATAAAAGTCGAATTTCCATCTTTTAAAAATGATACGAAATGTGTTATTAACACATCCAAACCTAAACTCATTGCTTTAATTAGAATGGTAACTTACAATATATGAAAACGTTATCTCTTTGTTAATTACTTGAAATTTATTTCCAATTTATATTATTTCTAAAAATCTAAAAATGTACGTTTAGAAAATATACCCAGAGACCAACGGGTAGAAATATTTCTAAGATACACAATTACCTATTAATTAGCCAAATTGAGAACGATATCGTCAGCATTTATCTGTATACTTTTATATGTGCATAAAATCACACATTAAACAGTTAAATTAAAACCATATTGTATCTAGATAATATGCACAAACCAAAACATCGAATTTGAATTTATTGTTTCTATGGACTCACCGTTAATTTGAAGGTCAATGTAGCCGGGGGCGATGATGGCTCCTCCGCAGTCGATGCGACAGTGGGACTTCACCTGCTCGTCAAAGAAGACGGGCTCCGGATTCACGATCCGTCCGTCGCGAACCCACAGATCGTCGTGGATGATCCGGTGGCCACGTACCAGCCGGCAGTTGGTGAACTGCAACAGGCGGGGGCTCCCCTCCGGATCTCCAGATTTACCCACATCCTCCTCGCAGGTGCGCTTCGTCCGGGCGTGCATTAAGGTCTGAGGGCGGGGACGGGGCTGGCGATCCGGGCGGAATGAGCGATGGCTCACAAATAAAAACACAAACTTAAACTAAACGAAAGCGACAAAAAAAACGAACTCAATTATCAGCTGGAGTGCGAGCAGCTCAGCCATTTTATAGCCAGATTTAGCTACATATGGATAAACGTTTTTTTCACATATCTATGTGCCATGGTGTTATGCACTTATTTGGAACCAAATATATCTGACTGGGTATAGGATATGTGACTATTATTTACTTATAACTTAAGTTATAAAGCTTAAAGATTAACATCGGATTAAGCTACATATAGGCAGTGAGAAATGACATCTCCAATTAGCTTGTGTGTATTTCGTAGCTCGCAGCTTTCACGCGGATGCACTCGATTACCGCCAATCGTTATCGATTAGATTTAAATTTAAATAACATAAATGAACTAAATTTTAAGTGCAAAAGAGCAAGCTCTTGTTAAAATATTGTGCGCGGCCTTGTGCCCAGGGGCCCGTGCAATTTGTTTTTATGGGGAAAATGCATGCGGAGAAACGTTTCCCTTCTCGTTTCCCCATATTCAGCACTCCTTGTCGCCTCCTTCGATGGCATCTCGTGGACGCTGCATAAAATGGCAATATTTACCCAACAAGCCGACAGTGAGCAGGCCGAAAATGCAAATTCAAATGATAATAGCGACACGGCACCCAAACAGCAACAACAAAAAGCTTCAGGTGAGTAAGTACACTGAAAAATATGCAAGTTACATTAATCAATGATCCGTAAAGAAAGGACTTATTTAGTAATGTAGTTTGTAATTTAAAACTTGTGTTCAACAAGTTTGTTTTCTTAGGTTTAGGGAAAACTTTTGGCAATGCCTATTACTTTGTTGCTTTGAAGAGTTTTCAGAGACTTCAAAACAGTTATATTCGTTAAAGAGAAAATTGTGTAAAAGCCTAGACTCTAAAAGTTTAGACAAAAGTGAAGGGAGAGGCGTTGTCTCTTACAACATTTTATGCTTACATTGCGCTTTATTAGAAAGAGAAATACCATTACAGTAATTAAAAACAAAATCTGGGGTGTCACAAAAATTTGAAAAAAGGAATAAAATATGTACAAGCAAACCCATAATCTTTTTGAACTTTTCATGTGCTGTTATTATATTGCTATTTTTGCACTAACACCGCATTACTAAACTGTAATCAATATTCAAAAGTGTGCTACTTTCGAATTATATAAACACATTTTAAATGTCCTTAAATGTTCTCTGTTGTTCTTTGGATCACCGATGGACAATTTCTTCGAGTGTCCTGTTTTTGACGTGCTCCTGGCTGCTCCTCTGTCTCAGCTAATCCACAATGGCCAACATTTTAAATACAAATTGCAGCGCTGTTGCTGCTGCGCCCATTCAGTTCTTCCCCCCTTCCCCCCCCCAATCCCCCCTTCCCCTTCCCCTTCTCCTGCCCCTCCCCCAATCCCCACTTCCAAATGAGTTGCAATTTTTGCACACACACCCGGCACACACACGTACACCCAGGAACATGAACTGCACTCGAGGTGGGATAGGTTCGTTCTTTTTGTCTATTGGCAACTGATTAGCATTTAAATTAAAATGTCGCAAAGTGGCCTTACCAAAATGTTCCACTCTTTGTATGCTCGCCCCATGTTGCCCCTTTATGGCCATAGAAATCTCTAGTGATTTCAAATCACTTGAAAATGTGTACAAAAGTATGCTTTAAACATTGTACTTTTCGATGCTCAAACAACATTTTCGCATGGGATTACAGAAATTAAATGCAGGTAAATGGTAATCCAAGCTGGTAGCAATTTTGACCTTATTATTCTTCCTTTTTTATGGGATTAAATATTTACTAAGATTTTTACAAATTTCTAAGTTTGTGGCTTATTATTTTAAATAATGCAATAGTTTTATTAGACAACCGAATTTTACTATTGAGTATCTTTTTTTAAGAATCCTTAATATTTCTAGCAAATCGATTGTGTTTGCCTTTGTTATTTTTGGGTCACGTCAAAGCTTAATTATGAAAATTTATTGTTTTTGAATGAATAATGTTAATTGATTTGTTTCGCAAGTGAACACATGTAAATGGAAATGACAGCATATACATATGTATGTACTTTTTATATTCCCACAAATGTATATGCTTATTTCCTTTCCAAAATCTTCATTGGTTTGTGTACCTGAATCGCTGAAAATTAGTAATTAATTAGTGCAATTTATTTCTGTTGGACAGTACAGAATCATATGAAAAATATTAATTAATTGCTTTTGATTGATTGTCTCCGCTAAAGGTTAGTAGCAAACGAACCATTTCGGAGTGGCAAGCAAAAAATAATTATTAAAATGAATCAATTGAAATAATTATTAGATATCACAATATTTTAATCAACAATCCAATCAATTTTCATAAGTCTATTCATTCTTATTTTGAATTTATGTGAACTTAATATCTGTTAAGCTAATTTTTTGTCTTAATTAAATTTCCAAAATGAAGCAGCATTTTTAATTTACCTTTCTTAAGAATATATATTTTTACAGTTTTCGGAGTAAGTCTCCTTTACTGAGTTTCAAACTTCCAACTAAAAATAATATATGCTCTGCAAGGGTATAAAAACATGAAACGAGTTCTTAAGTTGAATTGTTAGCATGCAGATTGAATGTTTGTCTTTCGACTTTCCTACTAGAAGGTTTGAATAATGTATGTTAAAAAGTTTCAGATTTCAGATTTTAGTGACTGCCTATCTAATTGCAGTTTTATCTGGCACTGCGATTCACTTTCCAAATAGATTCTTTTCCTTGACATTGATCGAAACCTTTTTTGAGTCGATGTCTCGACTCCTGTCCATTTTTCATGGTCAGTTATTGTCCCTTGAGCTGTTTCGCCTTCGGTTTTCCCGCCGGGATCCTTGTTCCCCCGGTGCTTTCCACACTCACTCCGGAAAAGGACCTTATGCATATGTGTGCGCTACTTATGTCAATGTGTGCGGGAGTGTGTGTCATCTATGCTCACGTATCAATAAGTGCTCGAGACGTGGACTGAATTTTTTATTACAGTTTGTGTATGCACAATAGTGAATGTCCTCCTTCGAGGAGCCACAGGACCAATACTAGGACCAACTCCAAGACGCCGCGTGTGTGGGCGTGTGTCTGTGTGTGTGTGTTTGTGTATGTGTGTGGATGCGAAATTGCCTGTGAAATATTTTTTGTATACACACACATCAAGGCGACACGGATATCGCACAGCTGCGGTCATCAAATTAGCCCGCAGGTCAATACAACTATAAAAAAGAACTGTAAAATAAAACACAAGTTGAACTCATTCATTTATTTGTTGTGGATAATGGATTGATTGATAAGATAATCAGTGGTCAAAACATTATGTTACATAAAAGAATAATATAATATATTGTAATATATCCTCCAAAAGTTAGACTTACAATAAGATAAAGATAAATTGCCAAAGAGCGGGGTGATTTTAAAGCATTATTAAGTACCCAATTATTTGCAATACTAGTTTTGTGACCTGATTTGTGTCGATAAGTCCTTGCTGCAGGAGGTGGAGGATGGAGGGAGTGTTTTTAAGTCGTTCTCTTTGTTATGGAGCGCTTAGCTGTGGGCGTGGCCGCACGCCCGACAAGGAAAATTGGCCGAGATGAGATGAAATCAAATCAGTTGCAAACTTAACCAGCCATGGCTAAGGATATGGCCCGCAAGGAGCTTAAAGCCGGGCTGGGCCGGTTAATGCCCAAACTCAAGGACAATTGGCCGTAATGCGAGGAGCGGCAATTCAAAACTAATCCAGATCGGCATTCATGGCAGGGGATTAGCTTTGAACCGGAAAGTGTCCTGGCCCCCCTGATCCCATCCTCCATCTCCACTTTGCCGGGCCACAAAGTTTTCGGCATTTCGACATTTTGGACTCGGATTCGGATGCGAAATCGCTCACAGGTAATTTGTCTTTATTAATTACGCTCAGCGCTCGGGGTTTTGGCCGCAATTGATTTATAAATTAATGAAACGATGTGCATAAATATTTGCCAAGACAATCTAAATAAATTACAGTGCAGTTTCGTGTGCTTGTGGGAAGAACTTTGCCCGAAAAATCTCATGCAAAATGCATGCCAGTGAGACAAAAGTCCGGCCGAAAGGACATGGACATCCACAGGACATGGACAGCCGTATAAATGCTACGGCTTACTTATTAACTGGCCCTAGGTCTCCGGCCCTTCTGTCCGTTCGTGTCCGTTCGTGTCCGCATCCGTGTCCGTCCGTCAGATTTACTTTACTTTGGGCCATAATTTGATGTATTGTGCAATATGGAACGCAATTTAAATATGTGCGCAATTACGTAAAATGTTTGCCAGCCCCCCAACTCCGTTCTCGCCCCCAAAACTTGTGTCGGCATATCCGTCCGCTGCACAGTTTTCGGATTTTCAGGCCCACCCTCCCAAAAAACCCCCCTTCACCCCCCCTGTCCCCCTCCACCGTAAGTTCCGTGTGTACGGTTGACCAAAACGATTCCGACCATTCGGACGTTGCAGATGATTGAGGCAGGTGCCAACTAATCAAAAATGCTAGCAATTATAATTGATTAAAACGGTACGGATGATGACCACGGCCGTGGGTTTGGGGTCCGGGGGTCCGGGGATCCGGGGATCCGATGTTGGCGTTGAAGGCTCCTGGGCGGTGGAAAGGCACCAGACGGCAGGCGGGGTGAGTCGGAAAATGCAATTGCATCAGCACTGTTTACGGCTCTTTCTGGCCGAGCGTTTAGCCAACGCACACTGGGACACACAAGTTAAAAATCGCAAATAGATTTTCTAAGGAATTTAATTTAATAATAATAAACGCCATCTTAAAATCCATTCAGAGAATTTTATTTCAAATTTAATCAATTTTAAAAAATGAATAGTTTGGGTGAAAATCTATCGATTTTTAAAAATCACCTTTTAGGAAACTTTTTTAAAACCAAATTACATAAACGGTCTGCATCTATTTTTTTAAGTTTGGTTATGGTTTGATTACTTAGGTTTTATAAACATGGCGGGAGAGAATTGACTTTTTTTAAGCCACTCATTTAATTTTTTTTAAATGGAGTATAAAAAAAACATTTTTTTGCTACAAAAAACCCTTCTAGACCCAATGTGCAACGAATAAAGCAATCCAACGCATTTCGGGCTTTGGGGGCGCTATTTGATGCGGTCCGGTGGTTAGCAATATTTATGCGTTTTCCAAGCAAAAAGTGTTTAAGTCAACACACCCATTTTTAAACTATTATTAAAGATTAACGGCCTTGCGCAGCTGCAAAATTAAATTACTATCAGTATTCAAACCACATACCATACGCAGATAGTACAAATCTACTTTTAGCTGGATTTTAAAATGATTGCCAAAAGTAAATTTAATGAGAAAAGGCTCCAAAGACAAATGTACCGACAAAAAGATACCCTAATATAAAAATGCTGATGAATTGTACAATTCGCAATCCCTTTTTGTATTTAATTTTTAGGATCTAAAGTAATAAATGTTGAAAGTAATAATGTGTACTATGTAGTACAATTTAAAAAAGGTTCTGTTTAATAACGATACCCATGTATTTTTTCTGCCTTTACTCTTCTTTTCCTGCTGCCAATATGATCAATGGCCATTTTAAATGCTTTGCTTCCGCATCCGCAAAAATGACGTGGAATCAATTTTGCGTCAAATTTTCAATATGCAACAATCGAGCGGCGAGAATGCCGCCCACTTAGCACTTGTTTTTCCCAGCCACCTTTCGCGGCGCCACGGCAATGCCATTTCCCATAGTCCTGGCATGTGGTCATGGTTGCCTTTTTAAAAGGACCAAAGCCCGAACCGCACACGAAAACCCGAAAATGTAATTGAAAAATGATTTTGTTGCACATGTCCCACATAGGCGGGGTTCCGTAACATCGGACCATCTGACCATCCAGCCAGGAAACAGTGACCAGCAACCAGTGACCAGTGACCAGGAGCCAGGAGCCAGGACCCAAAAACCAGGACGAGCCACTCGAATTGCGATTCCATTTTCTGCGCTTGGCTTTTGTCCTGTGGCGGTGCTGTTCGCCAATTTTGTGGCCGGGCGAAAAAGTTTAATTAATTCGTCGAGCGGCCGGAATCGACTAGGAAATGTTGCAGCGACAGGACCTCCGGAGACAGGACCTCCTCCTTGAGCTGCTCTAATTAGCATATAAATGACATTGTCGCTTTATCAGCAGCGACAGCCTTTGCCGTTCTTTCAAATATGTTGTGTTTGCTTATTGATTTAGCATTAATTGTTAATTGTTAATAACCGGCGGCGACCGCAGCCAGTGAACCGCACAGTTTAACGCACCTGACAAACCGCAACGCACTCGACACCACCAAAACAAGGACATTCGAGGGCGGCATGGAGGGTTGGAGGGTGAAAGGACACACCTGCCGCCAATTGTAAGACCTCCACAGGAACATGAATAACTAAAATCACTCAATTTACCATCTTGTTTATTAAGTATACTGCCAAAATCTACAAGTGAAAACCATTCTTTTAAGCTTTTTGACGCTTTCATTAACAAAACCTTTTAAAAATTGGATTTGAATTGGTGATACAAAAGTGTTATTTAAGGACATAATACTTATATTATTGCTACATAAATGCTGAAGTGAATGTATCTGCATGTTCTAAGCATTTTTTGATGTTGTGTAATTTTTTAAAACTATCCAAGATTGTTCCTTAGGTGATATTCCTGATATTCTCAAAAGAACAAAAGCATAAATTAATTTATTTCCAAGATTTATAAGCACAGATCCTAAAAATCGAGTAATTCGAATTCTCATATTTCTGCTTACAAGAAATGCAACCCGTTGTTTCCAGTGCTTTAACCATATTTCGACCGCATTTGTGGTTCCCCCCTGCCGACGTATTTTGATTATTGGCCATAAGGTTATGGTCTGAGGTCACGGGTCGCGTCTGGGATGGCTTTCCTTCGCTGCCAAAACACCAAACTCAATTAACTTGTTAATTTATTTAGAATTTCCTTTAAAGTACAAAAGTACAAGAGCATTTGAGTGGAACCGAATACTTTCAAAAATAATCTTTAAAATTGTACGTGTTGCCTTTTTTAGTTAAGCGCTTTCTTCGTTGTTTCCGAAAATGTTTTATTTTTAAACTAACCTGTAAGTTGACTAGAACGGATAGACTTTGCTTTCTAGTTTGTCTCATCTCAATCGCAATTTTATTAGCCAGTTCTCCAAAATCACTTCGAAATCTCTTTTGAAAGGCAAAAGAAGGTTGGCGGCTGAGTAAATTCCAAGTGGATTGGGATTGTGGTTAGCTAAAAATCGTTTACCGTAGCTCACTTCAAAGTTTTAGGTCGGTGGGTGGGTTGGTGGCTTGGTGGGTTGGTTAGTGGAGGTGTAGGCAAAGTGCGGGCAAAGTTTTTGCTTGGTATAATTAAAACTAGGCAGGAACAGCGTCGAAGACAAACGGAATTGTTTACATGTGTCTTTGTTACAGTTACAGTTATCCATTGGTGGCTGTGGATTGCATGGGCGGGTGGGTAAAGGGGGGTGGCGGTTGGCGGAGGTGTGAGAAACAAGGAATATGTTATGTTTCAGCCTACATTTCAGCTGTTCGGTTCTAGCTGGAGGAGTGTTTTCTCTGTCCGTCTGTCTTTCCATTTCAGTGTTGCCACTCTATCTTTTTAGCTTTTTCTTAAAATTTTTTTTCCTAGATTAGCTTAGTGATTTTGTGACTGCTGTTTTTTCCAGTAAAATTGTATCAAATAATAACAGAAAATGCTTTAAAATTAATGTATCGTTTAGGAATTGACATGGCGTATACGTAATGTTCAAATAATTAAGTATACGTATTGGTAATTTAATTTAATTTTGTGACTGCTATTTGTTCAAGTAAGAGTGTAACAAATAATAGCATAAAATGTTTAAAAATGAATGTATCGTTTAGGAATTGACATGGCGTATACGTAATGTTAAAATAATTAAGTATACGTATTGGTAATTTAATTACGTATACGCATCATATAATTTTTAATGATTTACATAAAATGTTTATTATGTTTTATTGCGCTCAGTTGTCTTTTTTCAGCTAATTGTTCCTGTTTTGTTAGTTGCCATCTGACAGCACTGATCCCTTTCTTCTTTTTTATCCTTCCCTTTATCGCAGTTGCATATGCAAGACATCATGCCCATTCCTCCGGCGTCATCGTCATCGTTATCGTCATCGGCTTCGCTGAGTCACTTCGTTCCCGCCCATTTTATTTAGCATTTTGTTGTTTTTTCGGTTTCCTGCGGTTTTTAATTAAAATTAACTTTGTTTATTTTGCGCTTTTACCCGCGCCACCTCTCCCCCCTTCCCTTACACACTCTCTCTTTGGCCGCCTCAGACAAAGTGATGTTGACTTTGCCCGCGTCTTTCTTTTGCTCTCCCGCTTTTCCGCGCGCTCTCTCTCTCTCCTCTTTGGTTGCTGTTGTTGTGTTATTGTTGATGCTGTAGCTGCATGTAATTGCCGCCATTTGCGTTGTCGTCGCTTCCTGTCCTCCTTCCAAGCCCTCTCTTCCTGCTCCTGCCAGTGTCGACAGATTAGCTGTTTAATAGCCAGATTTGGTTATAGTAGGCTCTACCTCTCAACACATTTGAAATCCAAAAGTGCTGGCTTATTTACTTACTTAACAATTTAGAGATCAAGATTTCTAAAAAAGGTTTTTTGCATAACCCACATGCAACTATTATAAATATATTATTTGACTAACTTCTGTATAGTAAACTTTTTTTTTAGCTACTTTTCATTTGATAAACAATAGCTGGCAGCACTGACTTATGCCTTCTCCCCCCGCGCAATTTGTTGTTGTTAGTTTTACCTGTTGGCAGACAGACAAAAGCTTAACCAGCGGAAGAGAAGAGTTTTGCAATCATCGTCATCATCTCTCAGCGAGAGCGAACGGTGCCCACCCCCTCTTTCCCCCTTTCTCCTTCTTGCCCTTCTTCTCTTACTCGGCTTGTTTAACTTTTTGTAAGTTTGTTAAAGTTTTTGTTATGCCTGCTGGTATTTGGTATTTACCCCGCTGGCCACCCCGCTGTCATTTTGATTAGTGCATTTTATTTGCATTCTGATGCAATTCACTTATTTGCAAAACTGATAAGCCCACAGAAGGAAAACGGGTGGTCCGAAGGGAAACGAATGAAAATGAATACGGGCGTGATCCAAGCAGTGATGAATTAGACACTTCATGGAAAGGAACAGCATGGCGTGAAGTCAATTTGCACTTGTTTATTATAGGTAATCTAAGCAATCTGCAGAATGTTTGTGGCAATTAAATCGATTCATACTGATTTTTATAAAAAATCTTTGCAGTGAGTTAGATAATGTACAATAGTATTATATTTTACTAAAGCTCATCTCATTTAATTGCTAACAAATCATAGAAAGTAATTAAAGTGTTATGAAACGGAATAAGGTTTAGGCGTGGCTTTCGTGGTAGAAGCGATCCATGCTGATGATTTCGTCATTGGGAGCCATTAAATTGATAGTTGGGGCGGTGGGCATCCCATGACAGCGACGGCTGCTCACTGTGCCAATCGACTGGCGATCGGCCATTAAATCGGCTCCAATGCAGCAGTTGCGGTTAAGACTGGGACTCCTCTCCAGTTTGGACAGGGAATGGGCCCTCGAAGGATGCGAAAGTTGCGGCGAGGTCTGTTTGATATCCGAGGAGTTCTCCATGGAGTGCGGTTGCCGCTGGTTGGCATGGAGCTGCTGTAGGAGATCCCGGAAGAGCGAGGGATTCACGTTGATGCTGACGCACATGAGCACGAACCAATCACCGTATCCAGTGTTGGCAAGGACCTCGCGGACATGCGCCTTCGGCATTCCACGCAAATGGGTGCGCAGCAGCTGAAGACGCAGCTCCGAGCAGCAGAAGAGCAGCATGCGGTAGATGATGTTGATGGCAGCCAGCATCGCGATGAACAGGAACCAAACGTACAGCACCGCGAAGATCTTCTCGTTCAGGATGTTCAGCGGCAGCACGCACAGGATGTCCAGGACATTCGGTGTTCCACTTGGTCCGTAGATGAACATCTCGCACTTGGCCACCTTGGGGAAGACGCGTGACGTCATCAGGTTCCAGAGGTTCCAGTCGTACAGAGGAATGGCCGCCAGGGCGTGGATGTACTTGTGCCAGAACCCATTGAACACCACGTCCATTAGCCAGAAATTCAGTATCTGCAATAACAAAAAATATTCCAGATTTTACTTTAATTTATTCCCTTTTGAATAAGCTGTTTTTAAAGCACTGCAAATGCCTAATTTTATTAATCTTACTTCAAAGGACCTCGACTTACGCTGATGATGAGATTGAGGAGCTCGCAGAAGGCGTACTTGATGGAGTAGCACCAGTGGAGCGGGGCGAACTGGGCGCGGAAGTACTTGGTGAGCATGTGGAGGCGGGTGCGGTAGGTGGCCTCCAGGATGAGGGCGTCCCCCACCTCGCAGCACAGCTGCTCCATGCGCTGCCCCTCCCATACCTTCCACAGAAAGGAGGGGAAGTAGAAGAGCAGCGACTGGAAGAGCAGGATCATGAAGACCCACTGGTAGTAGCGCAGGTACAGTCGCTTCGTGACTCCCCGTGTCTCGGGACCCACTCCCTCGGCAATGGAGATCACCCGGGCGTACTGCTCATTGTGGGCCACCAGGGCGCGCAGGCTGCTCAAGTTGAAGGCCTGCGCGGCGTTTGCCGAATAAAAGGAGAAGTCCCAGCCGGCGGAGCTCTCCCGTTCGCCCTCCGCCGGCAGGATGTAGGTGCCCATGGTCCAGCAGTAGGACTGCACGTACTCCGTGTGCTTCTCGGAGCTGATGCACAGGATCGGCTCGCCGAAGTACTGCTTGGCGGACAGCAGGAAGGTGCACGTCAGCAGTATAACGATGGTGCACTTCGAGTGCAGCGTGAATATCGGATCGTAGATGCGCACCGTCTTCAGGCGCAAATAGTTCGAGAGTGGTTTCACAGCTGCGTACATATCTTGATTTCACGTGACTTTAATTGGGTTTCAATGGTACTTAAACTACAATCTCCACCACACTTTTTCTCGATTATTTCACACTATCCGAATTTTTGTGTGACAATTCGGACCTACTGTCACTATATGTCAAATTTCAGATTCAACAATCGGTATGGTTGCCATCATTTTTAGAGGTAAAAAGCAGCGTTGGTAATCTCATAATCGGAGAGTCTATTCAACACTCATAAACATATTTTCGTTCTGCATTTTTAGTTTTGAAACCACTGTAAAGGTCCTTTGAATGTGCAACCTTTCCTCGCATTTCATTGTATTTATTCATTAAAAACAGTAAGATGTTGCTACTTGATACCATTCTTTTAAGTGTATTAAATATCCTGCGAACTAATTAGCTACTTTGTTAAAGTTTATGTGGTATATTAAACAAGGTATTAGGTTATTTTCTATTCAAGCCACAGCCAATAAATAATTAAATAAACTCACCCAGTTATGGGAACTTTGGGTCTATGTTTTGCCCGCAAAACAAATTGTTGGCAACTTTCGGCAGTCATTTTAAAGAGCCATTGAAGAGCAGTGGGGCAATTATGAACATCGCAGGAGTTGCGAGTCTTGTTGCCTGATTTGTGAGGCCATCAATTGAGCATAGTTCCCCCTGATGCGATTATGAAGAGCACTTTTAATTCCATCAGTCTGGCAGTCAGGAGCTCCAGAGTGCGGAGTGCGGAGTGCGGAGTGCGGACTTTTCAAGGCTCGTATGTATGAGGATCACGAGCTATGGGAATGCCAGCGAATGGCAATAATAATAAAATGATTAATCGATGCTACATGACTGCATATACAAATAATTCCCAGCGGTGTGTCGTCATCAGCGTCATTACCCACATCGTAGTCATCCTCATCATGATTATCATCATCATAATCATCGTCATATTCCCACCATCACCATAATCATAATCAGCGGGAATTGGGGGAATGTGGCGGCAAATACATCGTCATCAGCATTATCATCATCGTCATCATGATTGCCACGCCGGTTTGCCGGTGCAAATGTTTATTGTGGGAATTCGTTGGCGGCGACGTGTCGAGTGGCGACTCCAGCATCGGCAGCTCCTGTCCAAAGACCCAGTTTCAGTTCCATACCCCTCCCCCCTTCCCCCCCCCCCAACCAATTCATCCATCCAGCAATCCATCCTGCAACACACACAGCTATCCAGGCATCCCATCCCCCCACCTATTTTGCGGAAACAATTCTCGAAACACAAAAATTAAATTTATGAATTGTTTCGTTTGTGCGTGACCAGAGATTTACAATAATCAGAAATCGGGAATCAGAGAACACGCTCAGGAGACTAATTAGTCCAGGACGAGGCGGGCATACTCGTATACGAATATATAGTACGATGCCAAATTGTAATTATAATTTCTCGTGTCTGCCGATTGCCGATTTGCCCAGTCCCTTGGATATCGCCTCATTGATTGTTTGGCAATAAAACGAGCATGAAAATGAAATATGATTCGTGGCGAAACGGCAACGGCAACGGCAGCGAATTGAAACCAAATGAAGAAGTCACAGCGTTTTTGGCGAAAATTAGCTCGGCTGGCCAGTCGATAAAGTTGTAGGCCATTAGAGACTGGCCAAATTGGGCTAATTAGGAACAACATTTTCCCGACTAAACGGAATAGTTTCGCCGCGGAATTGTTGCGTTATAAATTTATGGGACAGCCGGCGAGATTGGTGTTCAACTTTTTAAGTTCTCGCTTTCGGCAAAAGTTTTGTAAGGCGGCACTCATTTAGCAGGCAAACAAATTTACTCCTTTTTTTCCTTTTTTTTTTTTTTGGCGAGAGGAAAGCTTTTTAACTTTTGATTTAATAAGGATTTTGAGAACCTAATAAACATTTATTTTTTAATAGGCTTCTTAACAAGATTTACGGGTTTGTCTTACTCTCTTTAAAAGAAATATCTTAAGAAATTTAAAATAATTTTACAGTTTCCCTATATAAATGTTCTCTGCAGGTTTATTCTTTATAAAATTCATTTTTCCAAAAAGTTTATTAGAAACAATTAATTTAGACTTTATTAGACTTAAAAAAGAAATGTATGTTTTGAATGTGTACAAGTATTAGATTTATCTTTTAGACAATTTCGCATTAAATATATAACTAAATATGTAATTCAACAAATCAACAAATCAAAGGTTAAAGGCATTTGGTTAATATTTCCTGATAAAATCGAAATTATAATTTCTAGTATATTTTTTCCTCCTCCGACATATAACTAACAGATAGTTCTATTAATATTAAATATACTTTTCAGCTTGAAATGGTCTTTACTGTGATCCCAAATGATAACAATGCAACAAAAAACGACGAGACATATGATTTCATCTGGTTGACACTTGGTAATTGGAGAGAACAAAGGGGCGTTAACCGACACCAATCAATCGCAGCCAGGTGCTGATCCAGATATAGTCACCCCATTCAACCCATTCAACCCATTCAACTCACTCAACTCGAACAACTCCAACCTCGCGCCCATTTGGAGCCCATAAAAGTGCGCTGACAGCTTTTTAAATATTTATTTAAATAAAATTCATTATTTAAAGCGATTTTTCATTGACCACAAAAACCGAAAAACGTTTGCTGTACTGCCGTGAGCAAAAGTGTGGGCATTTCGGGGGTTTTTTTTGGGGGCGGTCTTTTGTGGGCGGTGTTGGGAGTGCTCGACAGGATGGATGGCCAAAAGGATGGATGGATGGACGGATGGGCAGAAATGCTCCACGCTTTTCAGTGCGAACATTGCGTTGGGCGATGGCTACGCATTTCGTGCTTAAATAAATAAATTTAACAATTATGCGTGGTTGCGGTTGTTTTGGCTTTGATGGAGCCCAGGCATAATCCTATTACCGGCCGATTCGCCAGTTTCCACTTTTCCCATTCGACAGTTGCCCCGATGACGGTTCCCCCATTTCCCCATTTCCCCATCACCATTTCCCACTTTGCATTTCACATTTCACATTTCCCCATTTGGCATTTTGGACTCCTGTTTTGCCGTGGATGTAACTCCCGAATTCGTCGACTGCTATATGGTCAACAACTGGCGAATTGGCGAATGGTCGAATGGTCGATGGTCTGATGGTCCGCTGGTGGTTTACTTTTCCGCATAAATATGGCAAAGCTAAAGCTAAAGCCAAAGCAGCTGGAAAGCAGCGGCCTCGGGAAAAGCTTAAACGGGCTCTCGATTATTTGATGCCCAATTTAGTTAAAGTTTGTTAAAGTTGGCTACGATTTTGCGAAAAATTAACGAGGCCTGTATTCATTTCCATAATTGCCGTTGTTATGGGCTCGCAATGGGTGTTTCTGATTTAGTCTGTCCGCCCGGCATTTTGCATACAGAAAAACTTTTAATTATCAGCTTGTATTCATTTGATGGGTGTTTATTATCCGAAACTGTTTTCATTATTCAATTTATTTGCCTATGTCGCTTACCTGCTTGTTTACTTTCTGAAATTATGGGTTTCAATTAGTACTTTAAATCGATTTCTAACAAGGGAACCAAAAACTCTTAAATTCTAAACACACATTTTTCCAAAAGCGAGTTGTTAGACAATTGAAACTAATTTAATTAAATTTTTGATTTAATGACAGCTGACAAAATCAAAAAAAAATTGTAATAGAGGAAAAGAAGAAGGGAAGCTAGCTTTGGAAAGCCGAGGCTATATACCCTTGTAGTCATCACAAATGTTGACCAAAATTTAATCCAACTAATTATGCCATTTGTTAGAGAACTAAAATACAATTTTTAAAGGTATGCCACTTCAAAATCTAAATAAAATTGGAAAAGTTATGGACTTAAAAATAAAAATTTAGTAATGATGCAATTGTTTAGACAATCAAAATACAAACTTTTAGAGGTATAGCACTTCAAAATCTGATTAAAATTAGAAAAGTTATGGACTAAGAATTAGTGTACTTTAGTGAATTTTCAGCAAACCCATTTTATTGGAAAATATTTATGAAAATCATCATAAAATAAGTTTTAAAAGCTGAATACTTGTAAATGAAGCAACACGATTATGAGATTATTTATTTTCGTACTAGATAATAATAATGACTTTTCGTATATCTTTACTGAAGTATTTATTTTTCTTTTTGTTGGTAATAATACAAGTTTCTGATTACTGCTTTTCTGTTCTGATAACATAACTAGGAGGCAGCAATTAATTAACTAGTAAGCCAATTGCTTTCTGTGCTTGCATCAATTTCTCGCCAGTTCTCGGTTAGGAAAGAAAACATTTTCCTGAAATTTTATCTTGTATCTCGAGATGCAATTGCTTAAAGTTGCGAGTGTTCTCGTGGCCAATGGACGATGATGGCCGCTGAGGGGGCCGCAAGCGGTTCCAAAGAGATCTGCGGTTTCGCCTTCCTGTCTGCCTCCAGCCTCCAGACCATCCAACTATCCAACTTGCAGCATGCGGCATGCAGCATCCCATCCAGTGGCAGCATTCATCGTTTAGTGGCAGCATTCAACTTCCACCGCCGGGGCGTCTTGTCAAATGCACTTGAAATGCGCGACCACTCGTCGTTGGTGGGGGGAAAAGGATTCCCCATTCCCCTCCCTCTCCCTCCCCCTCCTTTTTGGGGAGGTCCTTGCCACTTGAGTCGAAATTTATGCGTTTAATAATGCATTGTTGGTGGGATGGGAAAGGGGAAGTGGGAGTTTGTGGGAGGGGGAGTTCCTGGGAGGAGCGGTACACTCTATGATGGGTCCCGCGTTGACATTGCTTACCTCAAAGGCCACATCATCATCGGCATCGTCATCATCCTCCTGATCTTTCGGGGCTGGGCACCGTTATTATGTGCCAACATGGTCGTCAATATGATGTCGTTGGCCAAGACAAAGGCTAAGGCCAAGTTAAATTAAAGGCGACGATATCAGCATATGTTACGAGTATCTGTGTGTGGAGTATCTATGTGTGTGTATGTGGAGCCTTTATGTATGTGTGTGTAGAGTGTGTATATGTGGCGTGTGCGTGTGGAATGTCCTGACATGTTCCTGCCGTGCATTGTTCGATTAATGACTTAACGACGTGAGTTGAA